GGTTGTGGGGAGGGGGTATCTTTCTTTGTTCGTTGCAGGGTATAGACAAAACGAAATAACAACAATCTCCTCTGTTATTTAATTAAATGTGTTAAGATTAGGAAATATAGTACCCGAGATTCCTCTGCCCCCGGCATATGTAGTGCCATAGCCAGGCTCTGCACACTTGCACACAGCGGGCGTGATTTCAATACCGTTTGCGGAAGATATTTTATCAAGTTTCTTCTTACGGATGATTGAAGAACGCCATTGGTAGGTCTTACTTCGTAACTTTGCCTTTGACTTTTCTGTTTGTCTGTCTGTCTTACTTTTCCTCAGCACTAAATTGCTTGTTTTTTCTCAAACAAATAGACGAATTTACTGTCGTTTCCATCTTCTTACTCTCTTGTAACACCTCTAATCTTCGGCCCCTATATGACCTTATTGTGTTGCAAGTGCCGTAAAACACTTATTAAAACTAAAAAGTCCGCGTCACAAGCCAGTGTCCCAAAGGTACCCTCGTGCGTCCAGTTCTCACGGTGCTCCGTTAGCTCAGTTGGTATCATGCTGGACCATGGAGAGGATGGCCATGGTTTGAATTCCAGAGTGGGCGTTCTTGAACTCTGTTGGTTTTGTGGAGTTTTCAGTGCAGTACTTTCAACCCTTTGGGTGTCGGTGGTTGGCGGGTGCTCTGGTGTGGTCTGCTCCTTCTTTCCTATCGACATATATCATCCTTATCTCCCCTCCTTCTTTTCTGTGTTTGTTACTCTCTTGTAACACTTCTAATCTTCGGTACTTATATGACCTTATTGTGTTTCAAGTGCCGTAAAACACTTACTAAAAAAGACCCCCCTGGGTTCGGTCCTATCGGAGATGTGCATCAAATTGAGAAGTCCGACCTTATAGTGTTGATATGTGCATTAAACCTAGACACCTACTTACTTACTTCACTGCCCAGTTCTCCTGACAATGGATTCGCAAGTCGTTACCTTAGAATTACAAAGTTCCACCTGACATTTTTGGCAGTTTTGAGTTACTGAAGCCATGAAGTCCGAAATCAAATGTTCTGCCTGCTCTATCAAATTCATTATAAGATTATTCAGAGTCGTCATCAAGAAATTCGTAGAACTGCATTTGAAAAAGCTGGACATGTTGTGGAACTCCAAATTTTTTATGTAGGATTTCTCAAAACTATAAGCACTGAGCTGATCGAACTTTGTACTTCTAGGGTATCGAAGTGCCCGTCGACAAAATTAGGTCAATGTGAAGACGATATCTTGGAATGAACAGGCGGGCTAAGGAGTTATTTTTGAAGTCTTTTATACTTTATACACGGATTTTAACTGTGCGTCTAATACCCGTCCTTTGGCTTGATTACTTTGCTTTTCTGTGACTGTCGCAAAAGAAAAAAAGATGGAGTAGGGGGCGAAAAAAAAAACAAGAACACCTTGAAGAAGAAATACGAAACAAAGAAGGAGGGAGATAGAATAAGATGGGGGTGGCTGACAGCAAGTACAGATGGGGACTGCAACCGTTACCCCATCAAGCACAGTTAATGTACTCAATGTCAGCAGGGGAAATGACAACCATTAACAAGAGCATCATCAACAACTACACAGACAATTAACTGACGATTGTCTTAGGTTGTCTTTGGTGTTTAATATCTTCATCCGAAGTGAAAAACAGCACTCTTTAGTCAATTGTTTTCTGTCCTTTTTTGTTTGCAGCTTTTTTTCTGGTTCTCTTAATTCCATCTACTGATGTTGAAAACCTAAAGCTTTTGCAAACTGTCTTGTGATGGTTGAACGTCGCTTTGTTTTAAGGCTTCCTTTACCCCTTTGCAATTCTTTTCTTTTCTTTTCTTTTCTTTTCTTTTCTTTTCTTTTCTTGTTATTACTTCCTTCTTCTGTTTGTTCGATTTACTGACGTGACAATATAACACACACACACACACACAATATATATATATGTGTGTGTGTGTAGATATATTTAAACCCTGGTTGACAGTTATTCAGTAGACTTAAATCGCTTCATTGTTTGGAGAATTTCGTAAAATTCAGAAGGAGAAAAAATTTAGACGTCCAAGTATCTTTTTGCCGACATAACCACCAAGAATGATAATACTTGAAGGTAATTATTGTTTTATAAATAAATAGACGAGCATTTACATCAGGTTATTAAACTCTGAAATCTGAATTTAAAGACAGCTCATGGGGAAGTGGCCATTCTACGTACGGGGCTGTCTAAAAATCGGAGCAGTGTGCTTTAGTTTATCTCTGGTCGTAGCTATTCCTTTGTGGTAGAACCTATCGGTATTAAAACGATCTGAGTAAAGAATTGCTCTCTTCTGATCGTTTTGTATGTCCTTACGATGTATCGAGAATTTAGATGCAAACAGGTTTTGTTTGGTTTAAATATCACTTCGCCTGTCGTTTGTCTCTGTCGGCGATGTGGTACTTTTTAGAGCAGAAATAAGTGGGAGTGCTCTCCCTTGCAATAGTCGGGAGGAACGAAAGTTCTGGGAAAGAAAAGAAGCTAAGGCTTGAGGGTTTTGAGGCAGATGGTGCAAACGATGACCCCCGGGTGCTGTTGTGCTGATAACTTTTTTTTCTTGTCGATGTTGTCGTTGTAGTTGTTGTCGTCGTCGTCTCTGCCAAGTTGTCTGCGAGGCTGTTTACTCTTGCCGGGACCGGGATGGCCGACCCGCCCTCTCGATCAATCACCATTTGTTCTCTGATTCCAGTTTGCTGGCGGCGCCCTGGGGAGAAGTGGATCAGGAGACAGATGTTAGTATGGGTATAGTTCATTTTGGGGGGTTTTGAACTTTGATACAATAATATGTCCAAATGATGTACGTGTTGAACAAATAACAGCAGCATGAACAGCGTGGGTCGTTGGCGGGTGCTCTGATGTGGTTTGCTCCTTCTTTCCTATCAAACATCTATCGTCATTATCTCCCATTCTTCTTTTTCATGTATGTTACACTCTTGTAACACCTCCAATCTTCTGGCGCTCATATGACCTTATGCAGTTGCGAGCGCCGTAAAACCTCTACTAAAACTAAAACATGAACAGCGTTTAGAAAAGCTAACGTCTGCGTGTGTGGGGAGTAATTGTTGGGGTCTCTGCCTTGCCCCTGCAAGACATGGGCTCGCTGTTAGCTTGGTTGGTATTATATTGGACTACCGTATTAATAGCCCTTGTTCGAATCTCCAATGGAATGATCTAAAGGTTGGCGGGTTTGTGTGTTTGTTGTTGTTTTCTTTTTGCTTGTTTGTTTGTTGTTGTTGTTTTTTTGGGTGTGTGCACATTTCATATTTGGCTCTCCCGTTTCGGAGTTCGGCGTTACATTGAAAGAGGTTTCGCCTCTTTAATAATAATCCTTACAGTGTTAGTATGTTAACCCATACAAATGATCAATGATGCAAGACAGTCTGCTTGAAGTGAACCCTGCTAAGTATGGTGTGTGTGTATGCGCGGGGGAGTGGGGGTGCAGATGGATAGATGTGTGTGTGTTTTTGTTGTTTATTTGTTGTTGTTATTTGTTTTGTTTTGTTTTTAAGGGGGAATATGAGATGCAGATGGGTAGATTTGTATGGGGTTTTCTTTTTTGTTTGTTTGTTGCTGTTGGGTGCTTTTGTGTGTGTGTGGGGGGGGGTGTTTTTTAGGGTGTGTACGTAATTTTATTTTAAAATCCCCATGGACCCCCACGGGATGCTTCTGCTATTTTTGTGTAAGCTGATGACTTTTTCCTGTCTAACATGCTAGTTCGAAGCGTCACTGCACATTTGCTATTACAAAGTGCATGCTCTCAAATGATCAGAAATACCGCACTTTGCTTCCCCCGCGCCTAACTGACGAATTATCATTAACAGTTGTCTAAATAGTTTTCTTTTTCAGAAAGGAGGTTGCTGTTTACCGTTGCCATGGTGACAACTAGTGTTAAGCAAGCTCGAGCCGAGGGTTCATTTTTCGTTGAGCTTCAAATTAATTAACTGTTTGTTTATGCGGGTGTCAAATGCCACGGTCTGTGTACCGGGTGCACCTCAAACAGACCTCGGGACAACACCTCTGTTGTCTTTTCTGGAACAAACGGGGCAGATTTGGTCACCGGAGTCGTCAGTGTAGCAGTTAGGCACGTTGCCGGGGCACGCAAAGACGTCAGTTAGATTGGCGCGCTCTTCGGGAGGTTTTTACATTTCTTAATAAAATAATTACTTTTTCTTTTTAATTGAGTACCTTTGTCTGTCTGCTGGGGTACTGTATGCATCTAGCCTGGGTTAGTCCTGCTACTGATAGACAAGGTCGAAGCAGTCCGCCTCCTAAGTAATTTTGAAGTCAAGAGGGAGGGAGGGGGTGGGGGAGGGGTGCCCAATTACAGCTTTCGTGTAGACTGAGGCATGGATGCGCTGGCGAAAAGACTTTTCATTCTGCACTACTACAACACTATTGTTATTCCATGGTTCTACTTTCCTGGTTGTTTCCGTTTTGAGAAAGTCTACCTAGTGCCGTGGCACCAGTTTCTCAAAGTTTTTGTCCGGCAGAACAAGCACACACTTTGAAGTAAAAGAGAAGAATGTGTGCGTGTGTATTTGGGCGGTTGGGGGGGG